AGCCCAGCCATTTTCGGATTGGGGAAAGAAAAACCGGGTACTCCTCCGGGGGGTGAGTAGCCAAGATCGGGTGCACCCGGTGGAAAGGCGGTCAAGGTCGGGTAGGGGCGGGCGTTGGCCAACCAGATGGTGGCATGTGGCCGCTCCCAGCAGCATCTTGTAGGGGTACCCGATTATGGCCACTGCTCTAATACATATATCGGTAGTTTTTTCAGAGAGCTGTTGGGATGTATTACGTCTTCTTGTTTTCGTTCAATGAAAAATAATGGTTTCGCCGTCATCCATACGCCGGCAGTTAGCAATTGCGATCCTCTTCGCTGTTGAGTCTTTGGCGAGCCAAATTATGACAGCAGCAGGGTCAAGGAGCGTTGCAACTTGCCACTATATCCGCGGATTCAACGTAGATGATCAACTGGTATAGTATTGGGTACAGTAGCGCCGTCAGGTACGTACGTGCTCCTGCTCTCGTGAGCGCGTTGATCTCTTCAATATACCCCAAATATACCCCAATATATACCTCAAATATATCAGATGTTAGGTATACCCAAATATATACCCCAATATATACCCCCTATACATCAATATCCGAACCTGTTTTGAATTTCAGGAAATATCAATATCCGATTCCAACGGGGGGGTATATATCAATATCCATATACCCCCCGTAAATTTCTTGATACACAACACTAGTGTTCTTATTATTGGCATCGACCGCGCTAACCGGTTGACCAATGAAAACACGTCGTCGGTCTCAGTGCGATAGAAAACACGAAATACTTCTGAATGCCATTAACTGGCACCCCCGTGAGGGGGCGGGATGGGGGAGGCTAAGCTAGTCGTGTGTGTCTGCCTGTCCGATTAAAAGGTGTGAGCGATGTAGGTGCAGATGATATATACAAAGTCTATAGTCAATATATATGCGGTGCACAGGAATACAGCAGAGAGTACTACAGCAGCAAGCTCTTCTTCTTGTTCGGCAGCACCTTGGAAGTGTTGAGAGTTGAGATCCACTGCACTCAACAGTTGCACGCGGCACCTGTTAGTCTATGCATATGTTGCTGGGTGCTGCTCCGAAATACCCGAGCCGCACAAGACAGGTGGGAAGTCACTCCTTCTGTAGACTACTGCAGTAGTGTACAAATTGCAATGTCTACTGTACAGCCAGCAGCAGCAGTGAACATCTCTCTATCTTTCTTGGAAGTAAGTGTGGGTAAAGTACATGCCCTACTGTACAGCCAGCCTCAGGTTGTCAGTATTATTTTTCATCTCCCATCTCTGTGTGGGTACCGTATACGACACAAGATAACACACCCCCTGGCCCGATTTTCAAAGCTTGATTTATTAATAACAGCAAGAAGAGTTGGGGTGCCGAAAACGGCGGCGTTGAAGCCTTCTGGTCGAGAGCTCCCCGAAAACGTATCGTTTCGTTTATGCATCCTCTGGGTCATGGATTAACCGAGCTTTGAAAGTTGGCCCACAGTGTGTGTGTGATCTTGTGCCGTACACGCCTTTGATCTAAACTGCAGTCTAGCCTCCTTGCCTAGACTATATCCCGAGGGCGCGACAGACAGGTCCGTCCACATTGGTTGTTGGTCGTGCGGTGTGGGTAGTGGCGAAATGCCATTCTGGGCCCTCTTGGGGTGGCGAAGTTCCTTCTGGGCCCTCTTGGCTTGTCGGTGGCAGTCAGTGGCATCCCCGATACGTACATACGCTGCGTGTAGCTCGTGACTATCCTACGGGACAACAATACGTACAGTAAAACTTCCTGAAATGTCAATCTTTCACGTCATTTCAACGACACGTGGATTCCCTCTATAGTAATAGGTCAATTGCACCGCCACCCCGTGCTTTTTTTTTATTTATTTAGCGCAGTCTGTTCACAGTCTACAAGTACGTGTTCGGTGTCCGGACCGAGCACCAACTTCTGTGCAAATGTCGCATCTCTCGCGCGACTTCACGGTAGTCAGTCAGTCGTGGATGATGCTACGACTACTGTTGTAGACTACCCTCTGCACGAATCAAGGAAGGCCGCTGAGTCTACGGAGATCTGGTGCAATACTTACCTTGCCTTGGGTCTCGTTCGATTGTCAAAACAAGAGCTGCTCCTCCTTCAACAGCAGCACAGACAGTCAAGTGAGGCTTCCTCCTTCTCGAACTAAGGCAAAATAGTAGCAGAGCCAAGCAAGAGAGGTCCGTTGACGTTCTTTAGCCGACAGATAGATTCGGTTCGAGAGCGGGCGGTGTATGCGGCTCTTGCGTCCTCCCTTGTTTGTTGCGTTGCTTTTCTTTGTGGTTGCTCGCCGGGCTGATGAAGTAGTGTAGCGATGGCGGGAACAACAGCAGGGGGGGGGGGGGGATGCAAAGGTGCGGACCGGCACCGATGTAGCTAATTAGATGTTTGTTTGCTCCCGGCGAGAGCTCATCTACTCTGTAAGACGAGTCTATTCATACTCTTTGTACTTTTTTGTATAGCAGTAGCCTGTGGGTCCAACAATATTTCCTGGAAAGTTATTGGCGTTCGACAAGAAGTTTGCTAAGTACTGCTCCACGGAATGCAGTATTTTATTGCAACCTGTTATGAGAGGTCTGTCTCTTGGGTCGAATCCGTGGTAAATCAGGGGGGTGGGGGTATGCCAGTCCATAAAAATCCGTCGGGCCAGCTTTCGGTTGCCGTAAGAGTCAACCTTAGTGACTCTTCCAATCTAATTTATAAGCGGCTTCACGCCCTCTGATTGGTCCGGCGTTGGTTCCAAGCCTTGACCCTCTCCAGCGCCCTCTCGCCGTTCCGCATTCATGCCGCGTTCTCGCCCAGATCGCGGCCGCTAGGCCGTGCTTTGGCCGTGGGTGAGGGTTAGGGTTAGGGTCAGGGTTAGGGTAGATGTGGGTTGAGGAACCTAGCCTTGCAAAGTGCAACAACATCGGTCAGACCTAAAAGAGTCACTAACTAGTTACAATACAATGCAACCTGGGGTACGGTACTACATAGAGGGAAAAATCCAAAAAAAGATTCCTGTGGTAAGTAATTTCTATTATTCCGATCCCATCCCCTGTGACCCTGCCTGGTAGATATACATGCAGGTGGGGAGGCACACCGACGGATGGAACAGCAGGTGTTTTGGTCAATATTTACTCGGTTTCACTGTCAAGAAGACCCTCAGCTACAATTTTTGCCCAAATCCCCCGCCTATGATTGGCTGGCCGTTTGGGGTTTATATTTAGGGCAAGTTAGGGTGATAGGGTTAGTTTGAGTTCTTAGCCGGTTTCATGCCCCTGCCAAAGCAGAGAATGTTTAGAAGCACTGCTGTAGTACCAGAATATTGCGATGATTCTTTGTAATCAACTGCCAGTGGTTTGGTTGGCGTTTGAAGGGACAAGGTGCGGCACTTGTAGTGGTAAGAAACAAGTATAAGTTTAGTTTTTTTCCTTTACTTTTCCTGCGTCGAGCTTGCCTGCGTTGGATATTTTCGGCCTGTGAAGGGTGTGCTGGGTTGGCGCTTGGTTGGTGTTGATGAGAGAATATCTAGGTTGTATAGGTGCTACTCTCTGCTATAGGTTGGCATTATTATGCGATAAATCTAAGTTGTTACTCTGTGTTTGGGTAAGGGTTTATCTAGGTTGGTGATGCTTGGGAGTAGGGTTAGGTCGCTCTTGGGTGGTAAATAAACGGTAGTGGTTGGTGCAGGTCTGTATAGGCGGGACCGCCAAGTGTGGGTACCTGGCCTATGTGCACCCCCCTGGGTGCATGGAATAATAATGTTGTTGTCTTCGGTCCATGTTTTTGGCACCGTGACCTACAGCAGTGGGCGACGCAACCCCGGAAGAGCTATTCGGCGTTGTTCCGCCGGGAACACTTCAGCGTATGGCGCGTCCTGGCCAGGGGCCTTCCATGTGGAAACCGTGGAACACCCCCCCCCCCCCCCCCCCC